TAAGCAATTGTCCTCCTGCACCTTCAGCCCTCTCTTTTCATGGACAGCTCCAGGTGTGCCTTGCCTGCTCCAAGCATGTTGTAGTTGTTATGTGTCATCAAGTTGTCTTTGACACACAACTACCCTATGTACAATAGCTCTGAACCCTGCCCTATCCTGAGCTAGTCTCACTGACTACAACATATTTATCCATTGCCCCATTTGCCGTGTCAATCAATCTCATCTGGGGTCTTCTTCTCCTGTGCTGTCCTTCCACCCTTCCAAGCATGATGTCCTTCTCCAAGGTCAGATCCCTCCTGGCCATGTGCCCAAAGTATGTGAGATGGAGCTTCAAAATCCTTGCCTCCAAGGTGAAACTTGGTTTCATCTTCTCCATAACAGACCTATTTATTCTTCTGGAGGTCCATGAGTACGTTCAGTACTCTTCTTCAATACCACAATTCAAAGACATTGATTCTTCTTCTGTCATCCTTAATCACTGTCCAACTCTCTTATGTATAGCAAGTAATTGCAAAGACCATAGGCTGGATCAGGTGCACCTTAGTCTCTAGACTGGCAGAATTACTCTTTAGCACTTTGGAGAGGTCCTTGACAGCAGACTTCCCCAATACAGTACATCTTTTTATTTCCTGGCTGCTGGTTCCAAGAGTGCTGATAGTGTAGCCAAGCAAGCTGAAATTCTTAACAACTTCAATCTCTTCTCCATCCATCATGGTGCTACCAATTGGCCCTGTGCTGAGAATCTTGGTCTTCTTTTTTATGTACTATAAAAAATTTAATTGGCATATAAGTTTACAGAAAAGTTAGCGTTTCATCCATTCATTGTTGTACATTTTATCTCCTCTCCCTCCCTTCCCTCCTTCTTCAGTTTACTTTTTTTATATATTTGTTCATTGTTTGCAATTACCTCCCTTCTTGTTCCCAGTCCTCTTTGCAATGTACCTCTTCTTTTGGGTTGTTGTCATATGTTTAATGTCTGATAATATATTCCTTTTAAAAATTTCTTTCCTCCATCTGTTCCAATGCAGTATTCATTATTTATGCCCTCTTTTTTTTTTCGTTTCCCCTAACCCACATGTCAGTCTTGCTTTATAACACTGGTGTTATGTAGTATTTGTCCTTTTGTGACTGAGATATTTCACTCGGAATAATGTCCTCAAGGGTCACTGATGTTGTATAATATTTTATTCGTTCCTTGTTCAAAATCTCTAGCTCTTAGAGAGATGCAAATAAAAACAAATATGAGGTATCATCTCATCCCAGTAATAATAGCAAAGTTCAGCAGAGCAGCAGACAACAAATGCTGGTGAGGTTGTAGAGAGACTGGAACCCTCATTCACTACTAATGGAAGTGTAAAATGTTGCAACCACTATGGAAGGCAGTACAGTGCTTTCTCAAAAAAGATGGATATACCATGTGGGTATGACCCCACAATTCCACTACTAGGAATATACCCTAAAGAAACAAGAGCTGCCATCCAGATATATAACACCCATATTTACTGCTGCATTATTCATAACAGCAAAGAGAGGGAAGCAACATAGAAAAACTATGGTATATTCACACAATGGAATACTATGCAGCACTGAGACAAGGAACTCACAAAATCTTTGTCTTCTTGATATTGAGCTTCAATCCATATTGGAGACTGCAGTCCTTGACCTTCCACAGCAAATGCTGTGGTCCTCCTCAGTTTTGGCAAGTAAGATTGTGTCATCTGTATAATGCCAATTGTTGACGAGTCTTCCTCCAAGCCTGATGCCACATTCCTCCTCACAAAGTCCAGCCTCCCAAATGGTCTGTTCTACATACAGATTAAAACAGTATGGAGACAGGACACATCCCTAACACATTTCCTTCCTGATTTTGAACCATGCGGTGTTTCCTTGCTCTACTCTGACAGCTGCTTCCTGGTCCAAGTATAGGTTTTGCATGAGCACAATCAGGTGTTCTGGATTCCCATTCTTCTCAAGGTTAGCCACAGTGTGTTGTGATCCACACAGCCAAATGCTTTTGTAGAGTCAATGAAAGTACAAGCAACTCTGAGGAAATGCAAGCCCTCATTTGACCCAAGCTCTGCACCCTCTACATCCTGTCCAAGGCCCTTCTCTGCAGGTGTCCACCTCAGGATGCCAGGCCACCTCCAGCTCCCGAGGTGCTTCACCCTTCATGTGGAGAAGTGAAAGCAGCTCTGGCTCCTGAGAGCTGCTGGCCCTGGCCCAGCTGGGCCTTGTCAGCCACTGTAGGAGCCCCAGACTGGAAGGGAGAAAGAGGTCAGAAGGAGGGGTGGAGAGGAGGGAGGACAGGCAGGGGGTGAGGGCTGGGTCTTCTCAGGCTGTGCCCTACACGAGGCTCACCCCAACCAAGAAGGACACAGACAACAGATAAAAATAGGAAAGAGATGGGGAAACTATGGGGGAGGGGGTATCCTCAGGAGCCTTCTCCTCTCTTCTCTTCTCTCTGGAGTCAAGACAAAAGAAAAGAAAACAGGGGCTGCATGCCTGGCATTATGCTGGGTGCTTTTCATTAATCCTCTCATTTCATCCTCCCAAATATGCTGCAAGCAAAGTATTATTACCTCAGGTGACAGATGGAAACCCTGAGGCTCTTGAGAGTGGGACAAGTGTCTCCTAGAATGTGCCAGGGGCTACAGTCATCTGGTGGCCTGAGGTCTCGGGCTGCAAAAGGGATGGCTGGCAGGACTGCAGCGCTGGCCCAGGCAGCCTGTTTAGAGACCTGAGCTGTGTTCAGAGAGGAGTTTATTCAAACAGAGCCTAACAGGAAATTTGGCTCCTCTGACTCACTCTGATCTGACCTTATTAAAAAAAGAAAAATGGAGCAAGAGTTAGCATCGGCAAAGAGTTGGCTTTAAGGGCTGGGCAGTGTGGACACCTCCCCACTCTCCCCAAGCTCCCAGCTAGACTAAAGGAGAGGAGCCCAGCCTTCTCCATTCTAGGCCAATGGGGCACCGCTACCTCACAACCAGCCTCTGTCCTCCCCCATGCCTCTCTTTCCCTTCCCCTCCCTGCCTGGGGGTACCCTGAGGCCTGTTTCCATCCCTCCTCCTCTCCTGATGCTATTGCCCATCTGGCAAGAGGGCCCTACAGGACCCCAGGGATTCCAAGCAGCTGTGGCCAGCACTACAGGGGGGCAAGGAGGAAGGAGGGAAGGCTTAACCCTCCGGATTCCAGCCCTCAGTCAGCCCGTCTCCTTATTTTGCTAAGTGTCCTGAGCCAAACCGTCATGTACGTGTGTTAGACCAAACCCCCTCTAGAAAGCTGAGGTTAACGTTAAACAGCTATTGATTAGAGCTGTTGCTGGACACTCCACCCCACCCCACTTGGTTAGATTATGAGCCTTTAAAGGGTATATGTGTGGTCAGTGTCACCTGAAGCAAGCCTCAGTCCTGTAGGACAGTGCAAAAGATGGAACAGATGCTGGATGGCAGGTCTGGGGGTGGCGGGGGGAGGTACTGTGCCTGAGAAATGTCCACTCTGGCTTTCTCCTCTGTGCTTGAGACATTTTCAGAGTACTCTTGCCACCAGGAGTCAAGAAATCAAAAGGCTACAGCAACCAAGTTAAGGGCAGGTTCTTCCTACATGGCTTATAAGGGGGAATTTCTGTCCTCCAGGTCCCAGGAACAAGGTTAGAGAAGGCATCCCAGATGAAGTATGAAAAACAGTTCAGATTCTTGACTTTTCAGGTGCCAAAGTACTCAAACTTCTGGGATTCCTCTCATCTTCACTGTACCAGTGTGAACTGAGAACCACTCAACATACCCTTTAGGGGTCATCTAATCTACTGTTCCACCGATCAGATGTAACCACTGGATCAGAGAGGGGAAAGGACTTGCCCAAGGTCAGTCAGCAACTTCATCACAGCAGTAGGGCCATGCCTCTCTGCTGCACTACACTCACAGAGGCCACCTCTAGGTTCCATTTCACCCATGTGTGCACTTAGTGATTCTCAAGCTATGCAAAATCAAGAGATGTGGAGGAGAAATCACACATCATGTGTGAGAAGTCAATCTCCTACAGAATTTCACAAGTCCTATTTGGCCCTGGGGCATACCCCTTTCTACAGACAGGGAGAGTAAGGCCCCAGGGAGTGGAAAAATCCAAGCTTCCAGCCACTTTGTGCTCAGTCCTGAGGAGTGAGATGCTGGGTCAGGAGTTAGAGGGGTGAACTGATTCAGTATCTCCCCAAGAGGGCCCCCAAACAAGGGAAAGTTTCTCTTAGTACTGGGCTTCAAGAAACAAATTAATTCAGGAGTCCTAGGGAGAGGCTGAAGTGGATAAGCATCAGCAGCCCCTTAGGCTTAAACAAGAAGCCAATAAGAAAGGTGGAGACAGGAATGTCAGGTCCTGTTCTTTCCAGATTTTAAAAAAAAAAAAAAAAATGAGCAGGATGGGTGCTAACACTCTATCCCTGTTCTGCCTGCCAGGGACCCACTTACTACGTCTAAGTCCCTAGAGGCCCTGGCCTAGTCCCTGTCTCATGCCTTGCTCAGAGGCAAGGCTGTGGCTTGGCTCTTGCATGGGGGACTCAAGGAGCATAGCAGCTGCGGGACAGGCCACATAGCTAAAACCCGGCGGACCGTAGGGCCCCGCGGAGGAGGCCCCAGCAGGCAGACCAGCTTGCCGGAACCCTCCCAACTCTCGCAGCCTGTTGCTTATTCATTCAAGTGGGAAAGCGCCAGCCCAGCGGCCATCCAGTGCTGGAGTGGCCATGTAAGGCCCCCAAGCGGTCCTGCCCGCCCGGTGCCCTGCAGAGAGCCTCGTGCAGCCCTGGGCACCGCCCCTGCCCTGCCCTGACCCCTTGGCCTCGAAATGCTGTCATCGGAGGAGCCGTCCCGCTCGGGACAAGGCCAGGATGGACAAAGCTAGAGCTGGGGCAGGCAAGGAGCCGTTCTGTCCTCGAGGCCGTGGAAAGAGAAGCACGCACAGGAGGCGACTCCTGAGAGCCACTCTGTTCGCCAGGCCTCTGCAGAGCGGCCACCATGGCTCTGACCCGGGCTGGCTGGCAGCTGGGGGCTTTGGTGTGGGGCGCCTGCTTCTGCGTCCTGGTGCACGGGCAGCAGGCACAGCCAGGGCAGGGTTCGGACCCGGGGCGCTGGCGGCAGCTGATCCAGTGGGAGAACAACGGGCAGGTGTACAGCCTGCTCAACTCGGGCTCAGAGTACGTGCCAGCTGGGCCTCAGGGAACAGGGAGTAGCTCCCGGGTGCTGCTGGCGGGCGCCCCCCAGACCTCGCAGCGGCGCAGCCAGGGCGGCCCCCGGCGGCGGCAGGCCCCTACCCTGCCGGGCCGCGTGGGCTCGGACACCGTGCGCGGCCAAGCCCGGCATCCCTTCGGCTTCGGCCAGGTGCCAGACAACTGGCGCGAGGTGGCCGTCGGGGACAGCACGGGCATGGCCCGGGCCCGCACCTCTGTCTCCCAGCAACGGCATGGGGGCTCCACCTCCTCCTCGGTCTCGGCCTCGGCCTTCGCCACTACATACCGCCAGCAGCCCTCCTACCCGCAGCAGTTCCCTTACCCGCAGGCGCCCTTCGTCAGCCAGTACGAGAACTACGACCCCGCGACAAGGACCTACGACCAGGGCTACGTGTACTACCGCGGCGCGGGCGGCGGCATGGGCGCAGGGGCGGCCGCCATGGCCTCGGCGGGGGTCATCTACCCCTTCCAGCCCCGCGTGCGCTACGAGGAGTATGGCGGTGGCGGCGAGGAGCAGCCCGAGTACCCGGCCCAGGGCTTCTACCCAGTCCCGGAGAGGCCCTATGTGCCGCAGCCGCAGTCCCCCGACGGCCTGGACCGCCGCTACTCGCACAGCCTGTACCACGAGGGCACCACCGGCTTCGAGCAATCCTATCCAGAAACCAGCCCCGACGCGGTGGCGCAGACCAACAACGGTGGCAGCACCTATGCCGGCGACCCCCGCCTCGGCTGGTACGCCCCTTACGCCAACGTGCCACCAGAGGCCTATGTCCCGCCGCGGGCAGTGGATCCCCCGCAGCCCCCATTCCGCTCACAGGAGCCACCCTACCTGCCCGTGCGCAGCTCTGATGCGCCCCCGCCCGGCGGGGAGCGGAACGGCGCGCAGCAGGGCCGCCTGAGTGTGGGCAGCGTGTACAGACCCAACCAGAATGGCCGTGGTGAGTATTGCGTGCCTGGAGCCCCCAGCCTCTTGTCAGTCCTCTTGGTTGTTGGTGAACTGCTCGCGGCCCCCAGAGCCCTCCTGCATCCTTTTACCAAAGACCTCCACTGTGTTGTTAAGAGACGTGCCCCACAGCCAACAGCCCCACTTGACCCCCCTCTTAGTCTTCCCCATCTGCAGGATTTAGCCAAGCAGATCTGGGTCCTGACCTACCTTTGGGGGTGGGAGCAGAGGGCTTGGCTGGTCTCTGGTGAAGTCCTAACTTTCCTGGAATCATCTGGGGACAAAGCCCTCCCACCTTGGAGGTGCCCCTGTGCCAGCTTCACAGAGAGAGGCTGGGAGAGCCAGAAACCAGGGTCTTCAGGGTCAGAAAGACCTGAGGGATGTCTCTGGAGGTGTGTCAACTTGGCCATCATTAAGCCTGAGTGAGCTTGGTCTGAATGGGCAGGTTGACTAGAGCACACACTGGTAGAGCTCCCTGAGATCAGAGGCTGCCAGGTGGGGCACTGGACTGGGGTACACATTTTAAGGGGGCTCCATAAGCTCAATTAGAAACTTTTAAATGAAGTGTTATCACATTTAGTGGAGTAGTTTTTAATTAATGCAGACAAAAAGTCTATGATGAATAAAATAACTGAATTTTTCAGTGGATCAGTAACTGCTGTGAGGAGGGAGTCATTAAAACTGAAGGCCAAAAAGCAATACTGATCTGCCTATATTTGGAAGATGGGTCATCACAGGTTTCTCTACCTTAGTTTGGATAGTTTTTTAAGTATTGCATTAAGAGATGATTTAGAGAGTATTTTGGTGTCCCCTTAAATTTTGTGCACTTCATTCCCCTTACCCTAAGCCTGGTCCAGAGGGAGAGTCACAGGAAGTAGCTGTGGCCTTGAGTGTGCATAGGGCTTGGAAGTCAGGCACCTTGGTGGCATAGTTCATAACACATGTGGTTACTAACCAAAAGGTTGATGGTTCAAATCCACCAGCCAGCTGCTCAGCAGAAGAAAGATGGGACGTCTCCTCTTGTAAAGATTTACAGAAACCTGATGGAGGACTGCTGCTATGAGTCTTTAAAGGCTTGAAAACTCAATAATGAGTTGTTATGAGTAAAATCAACTCAATGGCAGTGGACTTGGGTGCTTTGGTTGGGGTGAAGATATGACCTTCTCTTGGAGAGGCCCAAACTGCTATCCCAGGAGGACTCAGTGGAAGGGCAACCTTCACCCTCAGATGGGCAACTCAGTGTGGTTAGCAGGCAGGACTATTGCAGCAGAGACAAGGGGCAATTATTGGCCTGGCCAGAGCTGACAGGCTGTCTACTCACCCTCTGCTACCTAACATCCCCCTTTCTGCTCTCTCCCTCAGGAGCAGGTAGCTTTGGTCAGGGGCTTCTGCTCAGCGCCCTCATGGATATGCCTTCCACCCCAGACCTGCCTCCTTCAGGTTACAGTCAGTGCTTTTGCAACCTGTGATTATCTGCCCCAAAACAAGGCCACTAGGTCAGCTCCCCAAGTAAGGCCTGAGCCGTGTGGGGCCCAGGGGTCTTGACACTAAGCCCCCAGGTTTAGCCCCTTGGTTAACTGCAAGGACTGTTGGATGCTGGCACACAATATCTCTCTCTCTCTCTCTCCCTCTTCCTCTGAGGGACTTTCTCTCTCCCTGGAACCCAAAGCAAGGGGACAGGAGTTGTCCCCACTGGTAGCCCCTCTCCCTCACATCCAAGGCTTAGCACTCAAGGTGGGTGCTAAATCCCGCTTTGACAAGAACCAGCTGGAGGGTCCTCCTGCCATGGGAGAAGGAGACATCACCCTGCTCACCCTGGTCCTTCCCCAGCTGGCCTTCCCTCAGGCTCTCTCTCGCAGTACCCCTGTGGCAGGGTGTGTGACATCTGGCCATCAGTCACTCCTTGAGTCTTACCCCAAAGGAGCTAGACTTCTGTAGCAGCTTTCCTTAGAATGCAAGACCTCAGAGTGGGGCTCAGCCAAAAGGGCTCCACCCTGGGCAGGAGAGAAGTCTGAGGCCCCCAGATGTCATAGCACAGTGCTGATAGAGTCAGGCCTGGGACTCATCCTCTGGGCTACAGGCCAGTAGGGTTTCGAGGGCCCCTCTTTGGCCTGTTGGTTCTTAAGGGAGCCATTTAATTTAGAGATAGACGGGCAGGACAAAACAGCTCTTAGAGTGGCGATGCTTAGTGCTTAGGCCTCCTGCCAAGGCCCCTAGCCCCAGAGTTCATTTTGGGTCACAGATGTTTCTCCCCTGAATGTAGTATACTCAGTGCCAGATCACTGATATATGAATAGGCATCAAATCCAGCCCTGCTCTGTAGCAATGGGGAATGGGCCTCTCAGTGCTATGACTGGGCAAATGAACATTATAGGAGTCTGGGGAGGGGGCTTCCCCAGACAGGGAGGACTTTCCAGAGGGGCCTAAGAATTGCTGCATGTGATAGGTCACAACCTCTCTGGTGTTAGAGGTGATAGTGTGTAGGATGGGCAGGTATGTGTGCTGGTGATGAGGGGGGTTCAGGCAGGCTAATTTGGGATGATGAAGAGTCTCAAGGGGGGGCACATGCCATCTCCCTATTTCATTAGCTCTCCCTCCCCACCATTAGACCCAGAAGGTGGAAAATCCCAGCCTAGAGAAGGCCAAGCCTTGTCCTTGAGATCAGACCCCCAGGCCTGGTGTGGGAGCCCAGGACAGATTCTCTGAGACTGACCTCATTCCTCCTGGCCGCCCCTCAAGGGGTCTGAGGCTGGGCGCTGGCAGCCTGCTTGCATGCGTGGGCGTGGATGTGTCCTTACAACACCAAACACATGTGAGCACCACCCACGGCCCTCTATGTTCTGGTGGTTTCCAAGAGCTTGTCCTGAGTACCATTTCTTCCTCAGGCAAATGCATGCTTTTCCCCTCCAGCCAGCCTTCGAGGGTTATCTAAAACATCTTGTAATAATACCCCTGTCTCCAACTGTGAGTTACTGTGTGTAACTGTAGAGGAGGAGAGGAAGAAATAACAGGCTCTGAGAAGGCCAAGGATTTCCCCAGCTCTCACAGCACAGCCCTGCAGAGAAGGCTGGAGGATGGTGGTCTGCTTCCCAGGCCTGCTGCATCCTCCGTGCTGTGCCAGCCCCCTTTATGCCTCTATTCCACACAGGCCCTCTGTCCCCGACTCCCCTGGCCTCAGCCTTTCCATGTGGGTGATCTCAGTGCCAAGTAAGATCACCCTCAGCCCCAAAAGACCACCACCCTCCTCCCAGGCATTCCTCCCACCCTGGCCTTATCCAGCACTCTGGCAAGCCCGGCAAAGTAACGTGGAGCCGGCTGCCTGGCCACCCGCCCAGGCATCTCTGGTGACTGAGCCAGCTTCGCTTGGCATGTGTCCTCCATCCATTGGAGGCCAGGAGTGAGCTGCAGCTGCCTCCTCCCTGGTTTCCTGGCCCCACTTTCCCTCTATAGCCCAATTCTGCATCCCACTTATGCTGACCATGTTACTCCTCTGCTTAGAAACTTTCAGTGGCTCTCCTAGACCTTCAGGATAAAATCTAAATGCCTTAGGCTACCATTCTAGAACTAGAAGTACCCCTTCTCTCCTCCCCTCCTCTTTCTTCCTTTCCCAGGCTTCTACAATCCAAGGGGCACAGTGCTGCTCCTGGACGTAGATAGATATTATATCTCCCTATGACACAGTGACTGCAGGAATGGGCTCAAGTATGTCAGAGATTGTGAGCAGAGGACAGGACAGGGTTCAGAACTGTTGTTCATAAGGTTGCTGTGAGTCATACTAGACTCAGTGGCACCTAGTGACAACAACATGCATGTTCAGGAGTTAAGGCATTCAATGCTGATGGAAAGGGTTTAGTTCACTCATTGGGGGCACCTCAGAAGAAAAGACTGGCAATATCTGAAAATTTAACCTTTGAGAACTCCACGGAACACAGCTTTACTCTGACTCAGCCTGAGTTGGAGTTGGCTTGCTGGCGGCTGGTTTATGCACACTTGAGGGTGATTCCTGGGCACCTCTCTTCGCTTCTGGACTTGTTGGCCCAAAAGATCAGATCTGCACCCTTTAGCCTCACAGTCAGCCTGGCCCCCACTCCCACCTATCTCCTAAGCTTTTCCCCCCAACCCGGGTCACAGGACTTGGACTAGGTATGAGGAAGGAGAGGAGCAGACCTCCAAACCCCAGAGTCAGATCCCTCAGGCAGGGATATATCCTAACAACTCCTGCCGTTTGCTGAGAACGCCTGTGGGGTGGAGTGGCTTAAACTTGCATTTCCAGTCTTCCTCCCAGTGAAGTGGGGATTATCAGCCTCTTTCTACAGATGAGAAAACTGAGGTCTTGAGAAGTCTTTTAGCTAGGTGTGACATCTAAGATTCAGAGAGGCCTGTGCTCAGAGGATTGTGCCAGGAAGGCTAAAGGGCCAGACCAGTCTATGAGCTCAGGGCTTCTCTACCAGTTTCCTCTCTAAGCCTCGGATGAGATAATTACACTCACGTTTCTTGAACACTTGACACATTATCTCCCTTAATTCCCCTGGTAACTCACAGGCCAAACCTGTTACTAATGAGGAGAAAAACCCCACTAAAACCTACTGCCTTCAAGACAATTCAGACATAGGGTTGAAGTGCCCCTTAGGATTTCTAGGGCTTTAAGTCTTTACAGAATGCCTCTTCCTTCTCCCACAGAGTAATCTGTGGACTCAAACCACCAACCTTTTGGTTAGCAGCACAGCATTCAATCCACTATGCCAGGAGGACTCATTGGCATTGTTATTAGTGCCCCTTTGTAGACAAAAGGAGCCCTAGTGGCATAGTGCATCACATGCCCATTCGCTATCCAAAAGCTTAGGGGTTTGGATCCACCAAACACTTCTTGGAGTAAGATGGGCAGCCTCCTCCTATACGATTTACAGTCCTAGACATCTGATGGAGGGTCGCTGTAAGGTGGAATCAACCTGATGGTGGAGGGTTTGGTGTTTGCTTTCATGGCTATGATAAGGA